TCCATAACTCTTTTCCATTACGAATCGCCAGGCAACTCTCACGGCGCTAACCCTAATCCTACTCGCCCTAACCCGGATCGAGCCAGAGAAGTATTAGCACTCCAGACCCGTGTAACAAATACGTCCTTATTGCTCTAAATCAATATTAGAAGACTATAGTCTTCTTCTTTGCTATATTAGCTTTCTTTTTAGCCCGCCGACCTATGTAGAGGTATATGCCGTCGCGAGCAAATAAGGGGGTATTAGAGGAAAGTTAACAGACGGCACTAATAGAACGAGCAATAGTGTGGTTAATAATAAATCTCTCAGCGCCGGAGGGTAGTGCACTAGAAGAGTAAGAGCTGTAGAATGGTTGCGTATTGTGTTTATCTATCTTTGAGTACGTTACAGGCAACCCGAACATCCGAAAGAAAAGGTGTCCCGTTACACCGTGCGTCCTGGCACGTAGGGATGGACGTTAATTATGTTTGTTGTTTTCTGGATAGCTGCAATATGTGGTACGATTGGGCGTTCCCTAGAGCATTGAGTGGATGATCTTTAGAGATAAAGAACTTATTGGCCAGCCGCGTGCTAGCTCGCATAAGCACAGAGTCATAGAAGCTTCGGAGTTCAAACCAAAATAAACTGCTCTCTAGCTACAGAAGATGGGCGATGCATTCATAATTGCATCTTCTAAGAGAGACTGTCCATCAATGGCTGAATAATTTTATTGCTATTTACTCTAGGTTACAAAACGCCAAACTAAGAAGACTAGCAGTTTTGACATAACTATAAAATTTGAGGGATGAAAACGAACAAATGAATGAAAAGAACTGAGAATCCTAAACCCTTACTCTTTAAACCTTCTCGAGGTTCTTCTCTTTGTTACAGCAGAAGTAGATTTGCTTCTCTTGGCTTTATTTGGCTGTGGCACCTCTGGTATCTGAACTGGACGTGAACCCATGGAACCTGTTTGCATAGGTTCTTGATAGATATGAGCACCAAATCCTAACTCTGGGGCATAACCTGAGTTGTAAATATCGGGTTGATGCACTGTTATCGGGTTATGTCCTTGTTGAAGCATGGATAGTGCCGGGGCTGGGTGATTTGGTAAAGAGGTAAATTGTCCGTTGGGGTTACTGTTAGGGTGGTGCGTGTAATTGTTGAAGTTTGGTGAATACTGAAAAAGTGGCTGCTGTGGAGGCGGGTCAGACATACTCCATTGCATCGACATCGCGTCGTCTTCACGTGGGCGTTTTGGCGACCCATGATATGAGCCTCCAGTGCTCTTAACGCGTCGTAAAGGCTGTTTCCTTTGTCTGAAATTCTGCTTCGTCTTTATTGGCTCTTCATCGTCATCGTCGTCGTCTGATGGATCATCTTCATCAGCAGATGTTTCTGGTGTTTCGTTGCCCTCTGAAGCCTTGTCGTTAGAGGTCTCATCTCCCGAACCGTCGTCCTCTGAATCATCAGCAGGCCCAGCTGTCAAAAGTCCTCTGCTTGTTCTGAGTATTTCCTCAGGTGACTCTCGTTTCCCATCGGACCCTGAGCGAGGGTTACGAAAGTTGCTTTGAGGTCGTTTTTTTCGTTCCTGGTGAACCTGCCACTCCCAAAGGCCCCGGGTTTCCTCATTAATAACTCCCATCCCTGTGATACCCTTACCACACGTATTTTTCTAGCATTCACATTGTGAGTTAGGATATTTCTTACATGCCAGAAGTTGGAACAAACTCACCAGGTCCTGTACTGTGGACCACCAACGCCCGTCGTCTAAATGAGAGCGAAATATGCTCACTTCTTCCCCGAACTCATATATGATAGTGATTCCGAGATCGACGTTGTGCATGGACAGCGACTTCATGATGAGATCTCGGGCCTTCCGATCGAGACCGGTCCTTCGACGATCAAACAGCTTCTGTGCTTCTTTCGATGCCATAGTAATTACGACTGATTGAGTAGAGCAATAACAAGGTAAGAATGGTTGTCATTGACAGTTTTTTGCTACAACTGCATGGTATATGTATCTATAAAACCCGCAGTTGGTGGAACAAGCGCGCTGCAAACTAAGCCTAAAACTTATTGGCCGTGGCAAAATCCACATGCTGTACCAACAAGGCACGGCGGTTCATAGGACATATTTGGGCCAATAGGAATGCCCGCATAAGCGCAGCTATATTTGAAGGATCAGAGATCTTCTCTGCATATGTACGGCGCAACTCGAACCCCTGACCATGAATGTGGGGCCAAAGTCCCACGTTGCGCTCCATTCTGAACAACGGGTTTCCGCAAATCGCTCACCGCAAACACGCCACTATTCCACTTATCAGCTTTCGGTTCTTGTTTTTTCATTTTCCATTTTAAGCATTGCTCGGATATAAGGCCAGATATATATGCCGGGCGTACGGCCTGGACCTTTCCGAGGCAAATAATCATGCAAACTAGCTTGGTCTACGCGGTGGCATTAGCCTCTGCATTTGGTCTGCTTCTCATCTGGAAAGCGCTTCGCTTCTTGGAAACACCTGCACGGCGTAGGCTGTGTTCTTTCCTGCGTAAAAGATTGATCTACACAACATTCTACCGTCGTCGGATCGGCTCGGACAATGTGTCTGTTCTCACTTTCTTGAAGATCGTTATTTATTTTGCCGCCAATATTGCAGCTTGCGCTCTTGATGTCGGCAATCGTGAGGAATTAGCCAATCGCTGCGGGAGTCTATTCATCATAAACCTTGTACCACTTCTATTGGGAGGAAGAACTAGTCTGCTTGGAGACCGACTTATTCGACTACACCCAAGCCAATCATCTCTTATCCATCGTTGGGTGGGTCGCGTTTGCATTGCAGAAGGCCTGGTACACGGCGTTTTACATGCGATGTTGGGCCCACGTCTTACGATAGTACAATCGTTGGTACGTACTCAACGAAATGGCCTCTACAAACGCTTACACTCAATGCTCTATAGCTTCTTTCTCTCGCCACTGCTTTGATAGTCGTTTCATTCATATTTGTTCGTCGATATATTTTTGAGCTTTTCATAAAGACACATCTGCTTTTTGCATTGATGTTCGTCGGTGTGCTCTGGTTCCATATTCCGTTCCGTAACCGAAGAGCCCTTGTCTGCCTTAGTCTAACTTCGGCAGCCTGGCTTGTTCAAAAAATCCTTTGGCTTATTCGGCTTGGCAATCAAAACTTAGGCCTTAAAACGGCGAATGGAGTAACAGTAAATGCTTTCATAAGCAAAAGTGGCGTTCCTGACGCAGCGAGTGTCACTGTGCCACTGAAGAAGCATTGGCTGATTCGTCCAGGACAGTATATCTATCTAACGTTGCCGGGTGTGTCGCGCCATCGTGCAGGGTTTATCCAGGCACACCCTTACTCAATAGCCTGGGTGGATGGGTCTGAGATAACTCTGATTGTTCAACGTCTTGCAGGATTCAGTGCTAACTTACACCACGCCGCCAACCTGCGGCTATCGTCAATAGTTGACGGCCCATACGGTTCTCCACATCATCTCAACCGTTATGACAAAGTGTTATTCTTAGCCAGTGGCATTGGGATTGTAGCACATTTACTTGCAATACGCGATCTGCTTGTTGCTCATGAGGATCAGAGTGCTAGAGTTCGACGCATTACTCTTGTTTGGTTCCTCGAAACGACCAGTAAGCAGAGACTAGTCATAAAAGAATAACGCTGATTTCGGACAGGTCAGGAACAGTGGGTGAAATCCATCCTACAAAGATTGATGAACAGTGACCAACGCCACATCTTCACATTAGCCATGTATGTTCCTGGCGAGGGTGTGGTGCAGGACCACACCTCTCTTGGTATATCAGAGCGCTGTTTTCGGACCGATCAATTCTTGGACCTCGGTTGGTTCATAAGCAAAGAAAATTTGGCTGAGGCAGGAAGTATGGCGGCGCTAGGTATGAAGATCATCTTTGACACGCGTATGCGAGACTAATGCAATTAAGTGTGCGGCACTGCCCATTTCGAGGAAGCCGTTCGGCATGGTGTGCGCCGGTGTGAGCAGGACATACATCTTCTACATTGTGGATTTCAACCTGAAGATACTAAGGTAAGTGCGATGGCGAGATCTCGTTTTTCGTAGACGATATATAGTATACATAGTAGCAAGGAATATTTAAGATGTTGAGAGGAGCTGTGACAGTTTTAATATGATGGATTGTATCATACTAGGTTCCTTAAATCGTAACTTTGTTTTTGAAATCTGCATGCGTGTAGCATGTCGAGGAGATTTTCGGTCTTTCTTGCTTACTTCCTCTCGTTGGTTGCATCGGACTGCTGTACGTGCGACTTCAATGCAGGAGCGTGATTACCCCGCGGGCTACGGTCCCCTGGACCCCTCGATGTAACATCACCTCGAGCAATAGTGGAGACCTTGTGGGTCCTTCATGTGCATCGGAACTTTAGGCCTAGGCAATTAGGAGACGCGCACTCCAACATCACGAGCACACTTTCTGGGTGTACGCCACGAGCATGCATGCAAGCCAACAGTCCCTGCGTGCGTATATCCCGCATACCCCGGCAGTCCATACGGGCACATTGGCCCGACGCAAAGACGGCGCTTATGGGCCCAACAACGTGATCTATTGGTCAGCTATCCGCGCCGCATGAACCATCGGTTCCTGTCCACTGTGCGCCCGTGGGGCTGAAAAGCCCGTACGCGACTACACCCTTCCGCCTATGCGCACATAAACCCTCCTGGTTGACTTTCAGTTTCAATACAACTACAACTAAATCAATATCAATTCTTTGAGCACATGCCATCCAATTAGCACCTCATCTTTCGCAGACCATCAAGATGACACCCAGAAGATCGTCACGAAAGAAGACGATAGGTATGCATGCAACCTCCATGATACCATACTATTGCTAAATTTCTAAAGCTTACTATGGGCCTCCGAACCCTTCACAAACCTCGCTCACTCAACGAAAAAGCCTTGAAACGAATCCAACGGCTGCATCCTCGGGAGAGTGTGCGGATACGACGCTCTCGGTGGAACCAGTCATAGACAGAGAGTCACAGGAAGAAGGCTCTACCAACACTTCAGTCGCATTGCCAGAAGCTCGTATCCTTGATGAGTCACCTGCGGAATCTCCAGAATGTGGCGTAGATATATCAGCGTCTCAAAAGCATACGACTCTCGAGAAGGACCCGTCGCCGCGTCCTAAGAAGTCGCATGTGTCTTCGTCTTTTAGTCCACCGCCAACAGATACTCCGCCTTCTGTTACACCAACGCAAAGCACAAATCATGCTAACCTGGCGGGTGATGTTGCTTGTATTGCAAATGTATCATGCCAGGCCTCCCAAAATGTGTCCAGCTTCATTCGGCAACGGGAGATGCTATTTCAACAAGCTCTGTTCGACTGTATTATGGACGCACGAGTGCCAGGTCCAACATTGCGCTCTAACATAGCCGAGGAGGTCAAAGGCCGCCTTGAACATCTGTTGGCTGCGCACGAGAAGGAACCTATGCATATCATCCCAAGTATTAGATCAAGGGCTAGGTTCTATCATAGCAGTATTCATCTACGCTACCGCTATGGTATGAGCGGGGAGAAACTAAACAACCTGCTGGATAAACCCGTACCCCGCGCTGGCTTGTACTCACATAAGGATCGCAATCGAGTACTCTATTTCTGGGCTGTTCATCAAGGTAATCTAAACTACGGAGAAATCTCTTATGAGCTTTCATTGCCGCTTGGATGTCTGTTATACTGGATTATGCATTTCGTCAACTCCATCAAATGATAGCATACTATTTCTTATTGTACCTAGTCTTCTGCGTTGTTTAGCTAACAATCGAATTCGTTTTTACTCACTTTTTGCTCATTTCCATTTTCCAGATTTCATTTTCAAAATTCATACTAGTCATAGTGCCATTAGGCGACTCCACTTGAATTCTTTCAGCTAGTGTCTAGGCGTGGTCCATAATTCTAGATATGTAAATGATGAAGGCTAATCTCTCCAATAAACACTCTTCAGAATTCCTCTTGATTACATTCAGCATCATTATCGAATCCATACCAGTTGTTACAAAAATGCAGACTACAAGTTGCAATTGCTCGCTATGTGTCTCAGCGCTGGCGGTGCATCAAGCACACATTAATCGTTGGGCCTTTCGAGCAGTGTATGGAGTCAACCAGCAATACCGGAATGATTTCCGTGCTTTAGACAGACTTCTGCTCCAGGTGAAGTCGCGGCCCCTCTGGATGATACATATCAATCAAAACACGGAAGAGTTTAGCAGCATTTGTGATGGTTAGTGATTCAACACCGTTCAAGAAATTGCGTTAATTTTCATTAGAGATTGACGAGAAGCTTGAACACTTTGCGACAATGGCTACGTAGACTTCTCCTCAACTTTCACAGTATCGATCATTTGTTGGTGGAAATGAACTAAGTTGATCTACCTATCCGCTATATATGATTCTTCTACCTAATACATAATAATATCTATGCACGTTGTGTATAATTCATCAAACCCGATTCCCTGGAAGTTCCAGACCCACACCAAAGTATAAATCTGACCCTTTTGAACATGTTTGGGTAGTTGAATGGTTATACCGCACCAGACATCTGTCCCTTCCTCAGGAAGAGAAGGTCGATGATGTAAAGATTGCCGTTCAAGGGCAATAGGCGTCTTGTTATCCTGATAACATAACCCGTCATCATAACTAGCCAGTTTTAGCAGATCGTATGCCCCTCCATCGTCTTTAGGTAGTGCGAGGTACTGCAGGGTGTCAGTAGGCAATGAGTGCAACGTACCAAATACTGCAATTGTCCCATAAGTCGCATGACCAGGATCATCTGCTACCTTGGTAACATGCCCATTTTCCTGGTAGAGAAGTATCACAGTATCGTTTGGTTGTGCACGAAGACTTGGACTTCCGGTTGTCTGGTTGTACGTTATCTGACTAGATTTGCATGCGAGATCACTTTGCCAAATTTCGTTGCGCTCTGCAGGAGGGAGGCGATATGTCATATCCTCATCTCTAAAAGATGGTGTGCGTAAAACTACAAATTAGCCTATGCTCCCAACATGATACAGCTGCTTACCATTTCCGCGGGGGTAGCCGGGTGGCTCGATTGGTTCACCCCCCTTTGTTACATATAGTCGCTCTACCCAACTGTGCGTAGCGATATTCACTACAAGAGATAGAGCTACCAAAATCCTAAAGCATTGTAGTTGAGCCATGGGGGAAGAGGATATGAGGCGATACTTTTCACTGTGCTACCTGTTGCTATATATGTAATGTTTTCTCTTGACTAACAACATCATAAATCATACACAAGAAATAAAGTATCTCTTTACAGAGAAACGTTTACAATATTTCAATCATAGGCTGTTGTCGTCTGATATTTGAGAATGCAATTACCGTTAATGAAATTTCTCTTCTTCCTGCCGTTATGTGGTTTCTTTCCTATGGGTTCTTCCCTTCGTCTTATGTACTGACATGGGATCTTACTATAAAAGAAAGACAACACATGAGATTTCGAAGTGCGGAAAATGTTAGTAATAAGCACATAACACAAAAACACGCCACTATGCACACACGCTCCCTTGTAAGCCCCATCATCGCCTCTGATCTTCCGACACTTGCGCAAGTCACATTTGCGGGCCAGTATGCTCCACGGGAAGTTAGAAATACTTCGCCGCAGCTTTTAGCAGGCATGATATGCGGTGTCATTGCAGTTGTTATGCTAGTCTCATTGCTGTGGTTCCTTCGGAATAGGCGGCACCGGCAACGCCACCTTACAGATGTTCACAACGAATAATTCAGAAGATCCGTATTCAGATACAGATATACCCAGTTAATGCTTTTCATTGATGTGTTATAAGAAGAATCTGAAATGTCTCAAAATATGCTTCTCCAGAAGTGTTGAAAGTGCTATGTTTTCGCTTCACGCGCTGCTGGAAGCAACCCCTCACTTTGCGCATTGTGACCAATGTTTTGCATGCTTGTATGTAATATGGAACTATGGGAAGAGTTGCTGGAGTTAAGAATGAAATTAGGAATCAAAAGTTTAGGTGTTCAGTTCATCCCAAAATGCCTAATGATTTTCGATAAACAGAAAGCAAACTCCGCGATGATAGTGAGTAACTAGCTGCTTTCTGGTTGAAGTTTAGCTGTCCGGTTGGATATCCGGATAGCCGATGCTAAACCAGGTGCGGCTTAGTGCATTTTGTGAACTGGAGCACTCTCCCATACAACCGACGAAAACGGAAAATGGCGGCCACTCATAGCAGCACAACCCCACCCAAAAATAATAGCCAAATCGCTACCCGCTTACCTCCTGCACACCTGCAGCTCTAGCAAACCTGAATAGATATCTAAAAACTCAAGAGCTACATTATTAAAATATGTATATTAATCTAAATATTTAATTTAAGAATAAGTATGTCATAACGGAGATTTCGTATTACGGATAATGAGTTTTGATGGTAGGAGCTGTTTGTTTTGATTTTCCAGTCTCATTGGTTGCATGGGGAGCACTTATGCGTTTTAGGTTTCGAGTTTTAGAAAACAGGCACCAAAATCCAAAACAGTTAGCTCCGGGGATTATCTTGCCAGAAATCAATTTTCATTTTCTGACACAACACAATTATTACAAAATTACACCAGCATGGGCTGTAAAGCATAGTCGAATGTAATGTTAGAAGTAGGGTAGCTTGATTAACATAGGTATATCCTCTATGATGTAGCTAACACAATGCTATCCAATACTAGTACCAAATTGACTCGGCATACTGTATTTCCTCAGAAACCAAGGCTCACATATTCAGACCGTCGCTGTCACTACCGTTCCAACCACCAAAATAGCCTCCATTGTCGCCGTTATCGTCGATTAAGGGATGTCGCTAATGCTTTACGCCACGGAAGAATCTGCTATCAATATACCAAACCCGTCATGGTCCCCAGCATATGTGGGATCCAACCGCATCGTTGGTGCCTCAGAGTCTCAAGCTAATGCTAGCTTGAATGCTTGTTGTCTTGCACTCAACAAGTCATCGCAACTGGAAAGTACTAAGGTGCCTACCTACGACTTTAGCAGTATACCTTCAGATGCCTTACCATGTATTCGATGCTTCGAAAGGACAAGTAATGTCAGGCCCTACGAACCCGAGCCTTTGCACGCGTCTGCATCAATAAATATGCAGCAGCATTACTTTCCAAAAGAGATAGAAGACTATTGCCTCTTGGCCGGCGCATGCGGCTCCCCAGGTATTCAAGTGTTTGGTAGTGTCAAACAAGGAGACAATGAGGTCGTTTTCGATTGTTCCGGAAACACCTTTTCAACTCATAATGTTAAAGGAACTCTCTTGCCTGGGGAACGCCTTACATTAGTAGGGTATATGAAGATCGGCGACCAGTATGTATACTTCAGTGGATTCAGTGGATTGAATTTAGACATATTACAAAATGGAGATGTCGTATAGATTGTAGCATGACTCAAATGCCGTTTGTAACGAACTATTCTTCCAATCCAAACTCATTTAGATCGCGTTGCGCTTTGAGTAGTAATTCTTGTTCCCAAAGAGCTCTCGCTGTGACAAGATGCTTCGTCAATCTTGCAAGACGGCAGAGATGTCCTTGCTCTATCAAAAAGCCTCTATTAGCTTGACTCAGCTGAGAAAATTGTTGATCTAATTCACGAATCTTGCGGGTCGGTGGCGGCCTTTCGGTTCGGCATATCCTGTCGATAAGAACTCCCATTCCTAAGAGTTGTGTCCGAGTACGACGTATGAGTCCTTCAGTCGCTAAGATATTGTGTTTGTTTGTCCTCCATTCATGGCGAAAGTCCTTCCAGGCACTCATGAAGGATTTTCGGCCGCTCTCTGATTCGTAAAACATTCTTTCCGTATTATTAAATTGGGCCAAAGATTGGTTTGTCGTTGGTGAAGCCATTTCCTTTTGAGTTGGTGAGAATGTACTGAGGCTTGAGACCGCGGTCCTGCACGTGGGGCAAGTCGGTGGCTGACACAAACTTGTCCACATACACCAATCGGCCTCACAAAAAACATGCCCTACTGAGATTAGCTTCATCAACATATACAAATATCGACGTACCACAAGCGGTAATGATCTTAGTTATCCGATCTTTGAGTGCTTCGTCCCCACAGCATGAGTCAATTGCGCACTTCGACGAGGAAGTTCGGATTGCTATCACGCAACCAGCAGCGCGATGGCTGGGACATTTTACATATACTTTGGTGATGGCTTCGGTTAAGTCGCGAAACGCTTCATGTTGCTGTTCACATTGAGCACAGAGAATCTAGGTAAGACATGTCAGCTCGTCCTCTGGGTAATATCATAGATCAAGATCCCATACGCATGTGCAAGGAAGGCAATACAGCTCCTCTTCTAAGCTTTGGGAGCATAATGTACAAGTTTCAACAATCAAAGTAGAGGTGAAGAGGTTTCTAGGAGTAGCCATTTTCTTTGGTGTGATAGTTTGTAAAGATTCGACAATATTAGTATATAGAAGTTGAAATTGAACTTGAGGTTATTTGAAGCCTTTAATACACAATGCCTAAGCGCTGTCTCAGAATCTGCAGTGTTTCTTTTGGTACAACTGCATACAGAAATTAAGCGTACATACATATTGCCGCCGTGGGGTGGCTATGCTACTAGTCATCTGCCCACTTTGAACGGCAATGCAGTACCTACAGGTCTGCAAAGCCAATCAGGTAGATCCGGAAGCACGAAATCAGAGCTGCAGAGTTGAATATCAAGCCAAGTGATTCATGCGTGAAGCACTAGAACCAAAGATAGTATAGCAAGTGACAGATTAAACTCGAATGATTGAAATGGTAGGCTAACAGCACTCCTTAGATTCAGCCACTATATAAACAAATCATGCAAGATTTTAACATTGGTGGCTATGATAGACTGCGGTTACATATCCTAGCTCTTTGCAGGGAAGGCATGACTTCAAAAGATCGACACTGAACCAGCTTTAACCGACAAGAAACTCATTTACTAATTCTCTCCCACAATAATATTTTCAGTCAAATACATGAACATAACTAGTAGACTAGCTAAGCAGTGAGTGTTGTGACGATTTCTGCTATATGTCGCTTACCGAAATACATCCGTCGAGGTCATCGCAGTTACAAACTATGACAACTACCATCATCGTAGCTAGATTCATAGCAACTACGCCCATAACAGCATTCATCGCAGCACTCGCCATCACACTCATCGTCACATTCCTTGCAGCACTCGCCGTCGCATTTGTCACAACAGTCGTCGATGCATTCGTTGTGGCACTCGTCACAGTATCTATCATGGCATTCGTCGCAATATTCGTCGTCGCATTCGTCGTCGCATTCATCGCAATATTCGTCGTCGTTTTCATCACTGCATCCATTTCCTACATACTTCTGACTGCTATCATTCTTTGTGCCAATGCTGAACCTCGGGTCTTTGTAATCCTCGTATTCGTATTGAAGGGGTCTTGACGTGACCTTTTTTGCAATAGCTTGAGCATAGTAGTCATAGTAATCCATAACTATACTTTTCGTGTTGTCTTGCTCTGTATTAGTAAGCATACTATTTCGAGCCTCACCCGGGGTTTATGTGTACGTGATAGAAGCGTTGGCAGCGCCTGATTTGACATGCCGATTGCTTCTGAGAATCCCTCTAGCTGATGCAATGGTGCTGTAGGTCGGAATAGTGCACTGTCTTTGTGGAGATACAAGTAGCCAAGAGAGCCCATTTGGTGATTGTGTCGTGATCTGTAGAATGCAGTCCCTTTGGGGAGAGTGGTCGTCTTATACTTTGGTTTGCTATACAGAAACTATGTGTGTTCATTTTCAAGACTTATAGAATAAGGATAAAGCCTAGTAATTAGCTTTCCGCACTTCGGTTGCAACATTCGAGAAGTGAAATCTGGTTTTTGAAAAAACTAAGACGTGAAACCGTGTTCTTACACGATTATGTCCAAAAGATATATAAAGAACGTTAATAACTCTCAAAGCTATGGTCTATGTCCTGGAACTATTTATCGAGAACTTCCAGATGTATCTGGACCCACTACTCTTCAGTTATGACTACAATTCCACCCTTGTCGGATTTTTTGAATGTGATGTTCACGGGAGAACATCTTTTTGAAATAATCAGATTGGGGAACTCAGCTAGAAAACGGCTAGCAATTGTAACTGCAAGTCATGGACAGTGCGAAATCCCCCCTTATCTTTGGTTCATTCATCCTCGCTATCTCATACAGTTTGTCGCACTCGGACAACAAGCTCAAATGGACCAGGATGCTCAACGTGTGATTGGACTAGAAGATGCGATGCGTGTATTATCATTTGAACGCAAATCCAGAAGTTTCCATACACCCATTTCAGACTTTTCATCTACACCGGCAACAGCAAAACCTATAACCCAAGATATGACTACCACTGGACATAGCCATGGTATCACCAGTGACCTACGAGTGTTGAAAGGCAAAGAATATGTAACTATGGATGTCGCTATCTGGATAATCGATCATCTACGGTGTGTGGAGGGGTATTGTACAAGATGTAGTCACGGTGTTACTGTGAATGAGTACGGAGGAGGCTACTTTCACAGTACGGACATTAGCAATACAACGTCAGAGGCTCACACAGATATAAAAGCCGACTATGCTATCACATACAATTCACAAGGTGGTCTGTCGCTTTATCAGATGTAAACTAGTCTTATTCATATTCTACATGATAAACAAAATATTAACCCTATATCATAGCCTTAGTTCATGAGAAACTATAGAACAAGCGTACTAATTAATTACGTAGAGGAGACAATTTGCAGTTACTAAGGTTTAGTTCTACATAGACTAGCCTCTGAGGTCCTTCAATAACATTTCTCTCGGTTTCAGTGTCTTTTTCTGCCTCTTTCTCGCGGACGTTTCTTGTATCCCTAGCCACGCTTCATGCTCTGAATCTTCCGTATCTGATGGTATAAAGAGAGACTCTTTCACAGAAGGGGGGCGCTGGGTTGTAAAGCTTTCCGTACCAAACAAATCCACTGTGATACCGTGGTCATCGTAGAAGTGATGAATGAGGTCTGCCCAGACATAAGAATTCTCTTGCGAGCAAATTGGATGGGGACAATGATGGGACTCTCCCTCACGCCTTATTTCCATCAAGTGCTTTTTTAGGTGGTCTTTGAAATTTTCCGAGCTTGTGAATGCTGTAACAACTTTCTCATATTCCCCCCACCTAACCCAGCATGAGTTTGCCAGGCAGAACGGGCATCTTCCTGCTGATACAACAATACTTCGAAGCCTAAGAATCCCACAGTACGTATCAATTTCGTCAAAATGATCTTTCAGATGTACTCGAATGTCTTCAAGCTTATCGAACCAGATATTACATCGATGGCAGAGACGTGGTCGCCATGACATTTCGGCTGATAGCATCCTTCGTGTAGAGGCACATGTCACTACATGCTGCTGCTGATGTTTGTGGGCCATTCTATAGATACATTAGCTACTGTGTCAGTTTATAGGAGTAGTGGAATTTACGTAGTAAAATCTTTCCTGCAGAATCGACATTCCGTTCTCTTATCTGTGAGTCGACGCGGTTCGGTACCTGGATACCAGGCTGCTGGATGTTCGTAGTTCTTACTGGCTAAGCACGAAAGGCTATCCAATATCGGAGACGCTCGCAAACTGTACTCGGTAGGCAGTGCAGCCTCTTTGATAAGTTTCCGATGGGGGTCGTATTGCATCATGATAGCGTTTAATGTTGTAGGTTCATCCAATTTGCCAAAACGCTCAACAGATTTGGGGATTTTGCTTTGCATTGGGGGCTCTGGCGCGATAACGGTGACGTAAGTCTCTGTCCACGATTTTTGTAATGCCTTCCAAGCCTGCTTTCGTGCCCGCTTGCCACAGACGTCTTTACTGGCCTCGCCCTCCCATGTTAAGCGTCTCCAGTTGGCAAGGAACTCTTGGTGCTCTCGTGATGGTAGGCGTGAGGGTAATCTTTTGAGCCTGCGGTTGCGGCGCAATGTTTGAACGTCAAAACCTGCGTCCGCTTTACCGCGCAGAACAATGCCTTTTATATCTACAGCTGAAATATCGGACTGGTAATATTGCTGATATATAGCATCACTTGAGTGACCCAAAAGTTGGTTTCTTGAATTGGTCGATACGCTGGATGATTCTACGAAAGATTAGGGCCATAATCCGAGACGTTGAGATTCATTTACCATCAAGCTTGTTCGCAGTACCCCTTCTTATATCGTAGGGACGGATATATTCCATATACCCTGCTCTCTGGCTAAGGGACTTGAGTTTGTACCACCAACTCGAATATGGCATGGTGCCTCCGCGTCGCGTTACCAAGAAGGGTTTTCCGTGCATCTCAGCTTTGAATGGAAAGACTCGTACGTCTTCGCCACCGTCCAGCTTCAAACTTTCAAGATCAGATCGGCTTTTTATTGAAACAAATGCATCATCTGCAAGCGCCAATGCAAGAAAAGACGTAACGGGGCAGTAGATCATGCTCTCGTCCTCCGTCCAGAGGGTACGCAACCTGAATTTTCGTCAGCGCTGTTTATGATGGACTTTGAGAGACTCACTTTGAATCCAACATTTGTTTTTCTCCTTTTCTCCATCCTTGTCGTAGTACTAGGCCAAATTTTTCCTGCCCATCTTTTACGCGGATGAGTAAAAACTCGACATCCTCGTATTTTAGATGGATGTCAGGGTAGTATCCCGTAGGGACAAACGCGCCAGGCCGGCCTCCCGTGAACATGTGTATCTGCAGTAGAAAGGCGGTCTGCACACGTTCGCGTTCCCACTCAAATTCGTCAGCGTCGTGACACCAAAGCTGTTTCATAAGATTTGTGAACACAACCAAGTCACATAAACCTTTTTTCACTCTCTCTGTCGTTAAACAAAGTTCCTGAGTGAGGTTTGTTCGTATCCACTACATTTGTTAGATTACGCTGTCTCCCTCAAAAGATACTGCCCACTTACTGCGAGTACATCTGTGTTGACTTGAGTAGGTACACGATTTCCTGTTACTTGGAGAATAACTGATTGAACTCTAGCCCAGACAACCTCGCAAGAGACAACGCTCACTTGTGCTTGGATTCGTCCTTCAGAACTCCCAGCCCACCAATGTAAGAATTGCTTAAGTTGGTGGACATCAGGCACATGTGACCCTGGCTGCAGCAGAGAAGGTCTGCCGGTGTATGCGCAGTATCTGATCCACTTTAGTATCTTAGGCAAGTAGATTATGTCTGATATAGAGGGTTCATACTCGTCCCATAGTTTCTGTGCGTCCTTGTAGTTCCTGTCTGTTGATGCAGCTAGCCTTTTCTTACATTGCTTGTACGACTGGGCTAGCAAAGCGTCTGCTGTCAGGCCTTTTCGTTGAAGATTTGCTGATCTCTTAGTTGGTTTGCCCATGATTGCAAGTAATACTACAAAAGAAGTGGTATAATCTTGTATATGTACGTGAAATATCTTATTCTTCTAGGATGTAGCCTTGCAGGATGTGGCACTGTCGACGTTATTGTCTGACCTCGCATTGACGGCCGCACTTTCGTTAGCCTGATGAAAAGAGGCCTGCTTTTTCTTTCAGTACACGGGCGCTACCTGAGTAAGCAAACCTCTTGTAAGGTATTGATAATAAGGGTAGAGTACACCGCCTCACAAAGTACAATCCTTGCAGTCAATGTAAGGACAGTGTCGAGCTCCAAACTTGGATTTGGGAAGCTAAATGTTGTAGAAGGCTCACGTGTAGCTTATCTTCCCATCATTGCGTTGTTCGCCGTCGTGCGTCATCAAAACCGTAGATGTGTTGCCATATTCGGAATACGTATGAAGATGAGCGGATAGGAGGCCAACAAACAAATATCAAATTTTGGGACCAGAGTCCCCTCCATAAGGCAAAACATAAACGGTATCTGATATGAAATTTAGATCGACTATCTTCTTCAAAACGGTAGTTCTCACTATTGTATGTCACTAAAGAGCTCGTCACGTGAGTTTTTTCTGAGAGAGCATTTCAGATTTTGCTTTACATAATAAGAAAACAGTAACATCATCGCGTGAAACGCGAAAACATATGTGCCTAAATTGAATTACTATTATAACTGTTGTATCTAATGCACATAACTTGTGTATACGTTCTCTGATTACGCGTGATAGGAAACCGAAAACCGTAATCGCAATATCACATAACTAACTGAGATTTCAAAAACGGAATCTCGGACTACACACGATGAGACAACATCACATAGATAAAAGCCTAGAAAAACAAAATCAAAATAACATAACCGGAATTCGAAGAAAGGAAATCTAAGATTACACAGGAAGAGCTAACATCGTGTGAGTAGAGGTCTGGAAAAAGAAAACTAAAATGATACAACCGAGATTCCAAAAAAGGAAATTTTGGACTATACACGAAGAGCAGATATTACGTAAGAAGAAGCCTCAAAAAATAGAATTGAAATGATCGAACCAAAATTCCAAAATAGGAAATTTTGGACTACGCACGAAGCATTATAGTCAACTCTATATTCTTAAGATAAATACAAAATCAATTAATTCAACCTCCACTCTCTATATTTTGGCTTATTATTATTCCATTATAGTCCTGTATCAGCCGTTGGCTATGTAAGACTTTTGGCCAAAGGCCGTTCTATCTAACTAGTTACAATTTGGTACTTTGTGCTGTG